TCACTCTTTCCCAGTCTTGTGGTCCAGCCGGCGTCGCTTGCCTTGCTTCCACAAGCTTCGTTAGTTTGCTCATGGTTTCCAAGGTTCTTGGTTCTTGGTGCTGGGCTGAAGATTTCCCGCCCTGTTCTTCCTCTCGTCGAGGCCCATCTGGTCTCCATCCCCACCACTCTCGTCATCCCACGTTGAGGGCGACTTACACATCACACCAACTGCTTTGATCGAGTACGCAGTACTCGTACACTACACGGAAAAGTCAGGGCAAGGCAAGGTACGAACCCTGATGGACTGGCCTCGTTGCAGCGGACAGTCATGCTGCATCCTTTCCCTCGCCTTTCCTGCTTGATTGTGGGATTTTCCGGCTGCATTTGGTGATAGGCAACAGATCACCCCTCCTCCTTGTCTTTTTCCTGCGCATGCGCATGATCACACTTAATTCCTCTTCAGGACAGTGGGGCCCGCCGTTTGATGCCGTCCTCCACCCGGCCGTTTTGCAACGTTCTTGGCTCCGTGGCACCGCCGTCCGCCGCGTCGTATGTCGACCTGCCGCCATCACCACAGACAGAGATTGATCGCTATGCAACCCTCTCAACTTGCTGCTGTGCTTAGCTCTAGTTACCCATCGCCACGAACGTCTGAATCAGCCATCCAGCACCCTCCGTCTGGGGAAGCCTCCGTCGCCGGTTGATTGGCCGCCCATGCCGTCGTCTAATGTCTGAGACAGACGGCCTTGGGGTAGCTCGAGGCCGCCCTGCGGAGTGAAACATTGCTACACTACGGCAAGCCTACGACACCCTTTGGTTTGCTCGGCTCGGCTGAGCTGCTCCATTAGCCTGCGCTCTACGCACCCAGCACATGGACCTGCTGCCCCGTTACCGGCCGGGAAAACGAAGAAAGGCCCCAGCCGGTCTCTGGTTGACACCGGCACTCTCGAAGCCAGCTTCATGCAACGAAAGGCGAGCTTGCCTCCGACGATTCCGGTGTGCTAGGATAAGAGCTCGTTGTCGGCTTGATCAAACGCAGTTTCAACAGTTTGAACTTGATCACCCGCGACCTCTAAGCTTCCCCAACTTTGGCCGCGTTGACCCGGCTTACGGCCTCTACCGGCGGACCCGTCGAGCAGAAGAACATCGGCAACCATACCACCTCAGCACGCATTCTTTCGCCACGATTGCGCAGTTCGTCGGAGCTTATTCGGATAACCCACACCGAAGATCCGGTCGATCGTAGTGAGCACAACCAACCACCGCCGTGAGCTGTTCAACCTCATCACTGGACAGCTATCGTCAGCTGGTACTCACTAGCCCGTCATGCCCGCGATGTCGCAAATGAAACAACCAGTGGCTCGTTTGACGCAGGTGGGGGGCCGGTCGAGACACATGGAGAAAGGCAGGCATTCCGCTGCAGAGGGAGTGAGGCCGCCACAATTGGTCCAAAGTCTACCTGGATGATAAGTCCGGATTATCGTGCTGGCAAAACCGCTGCCAAGGCATCCCGGGTCTGCCAAAGTGCCAGCGTGCCAGTGCCTGTTCCCGAACCCATCCCCTTCCTCCAAGCTCAAAGCTGAGTAGCTTGCTGGTCAGCGTTCATGTCCTTTTTATCGAGGCTGAGGGGCTGTCCCGAACAAAGAGAATCTCCAACGTCCGTTGCCCGCTAATCCCAAGCGGTAATGCCAATGCTTCGGATTCCAAGTCTCTCGGGCACCGAAAAACCGTCGTTCTGATGACACAGCGGTGGACAAAGTCTCAACCTCTGCTAATGCCGTATTCCCTGTCAAAGCCAGTGGCTCGCTGCGCGGGCTTCTGCTGCCGCAACCCTCTTCGGGGCTGATTTTCGCAGCCGACATCTGCTCGCTCGCACGAAGTTGCGGTGACGGCCTCCGATACTGGTCCGTCCAGGGTTCGACACCACAATTCCGGTATTGATCCTCATGTCTTGCACACCATGGCTGGCAAAGCCCGGCACACATCAAAAACGTTCATGCAAGCCCCGCCGTTTGGCATGCACATGATGCAGCCTTTCCTCTCGGCTTCTTCCCCCTCGCAGAGTTCTAGATCCGCGTCTCATTGCATCCATCGCACCATGGCGAGTCAAGTGCCCGCCATCGACTGCACCAGAGAGTGCGCATGAGTCCCATGGAGCGCATGTCGCATTGTATGCCCGCGACGTCAGCGGTCTTGCCATTTCCTGGGCCTTCCTAATTACTTCGTTCGTCGCCGCCAGTGCCGCGCAACACCCCCAAAGGCTTATCCAACCGTACCATCCGGCCTAGTGGCCAATTTGGCGTCATCTGTGAGATGCTATTTTGTTGTCTTTCGAACCGGTGCTTCTAATAGGGGCTGCAGCTCTTATCACCCTCATTGGGGAGGTCGTCAAGCCACAGTCAGACGGCACGTTCCTCTGGCTTTGTGGCTTTCGACTCTGTCCTCCTAGGATCTGGCTGTCTTGGATTACAGGCTCTAACCTCGGCCCAGGATCCGCGATCTTGAGCAATGAAATCCGGGCCGCTGTTGAAGTTACTTTCAATATGCTGATTTGATTGTGTCCCGAGAAGCCTGAGCGTATTTTTGGATAGTTCTTGGCAAGCTGAGAGGGCCATCGTTCTAAACAGCGTTTCTCTGGATCAACTACCTTTGGCTGCCCGCTGACTATACATTTGTATGGCTGGCTGCCATAGATTGTGGTTTGAAGAAAGTTGGCTCCTTCAGTTCCATCCGAGCTTTTGACATTGCCGTCCTAAACCCAATCTTCATTGCCCTGGGGGCGTGAGATTCTCATGAATGAGCCTCATCGAGCTCACCAACGTCTGCTGCTGATACCATGGGCTATATTAGGTCGTGTGGATTGCAATCGTTCTTCGTCATCTGTGATATTACTATGCTAGCATTATACTGCCATCGCCGACGTCTGAAATATCCCTCGAGATGCCAACAAGTCGTGAGTCGGAAGGCGTTGATGTGAACACCAGCTGCCTTGGGAACGTCGTAGAATCATCTGGCCCTCGGGAGCTTTCCACCTCTTCGGAGCTCGCGCATCGTTCTTTCTCGTATCTCAGCTGTCACCAGTAAACTCCTCATCATTCAAGGTGAGATTTTGTTCCGTAATGATTGCGCTTTTCCTGCCCAGGTGGGCAGGAAGGCTCCATGATATATATTTACCTTGATTACGTGCCTTCGTAAATGTGATCCATGCCACTAAGGCAGGATTCTACTCAAGCAGGAGAGTACACCTTGACTGTCGCTCTCCTCTTGATTGAGACTATAGACCATCTCCCCGTCGCCTTCAATAATCTGGCTAGGGGGGCAGGAGGTCTTCACGAAGACGGCAATAGCTCCCTCGGACAGCTCTCTCCATTGAGATGAACACATCGATACTTTACGGTCCAATGAACGTCCCGTCGGGGCCTCAAGTACACAGGTCTTTGTCTCGTAGTTCCGTTCTTTCAATCAAGGAAGACCTCGTCGTGGCTAATCTATGCCTATTATCTGTCACAAAGACTGACGTCTACGCCTCAATGCCATTGTGGGAGTGGCCCTTCTGGCCCTCCGTGGCCTCATGTATCAGTCCAGTCCTTGCCCTCGCCCTCAAGGCCAAAGGTGTCCTGACAGGTGTCCGTCTACCTCTATTAGTCTTTCCGAAAGTTAGGAAATCAGAAGGATGTCATCGTGAAGACAACTTTGAGACCACCCCATCACCATAAGGACTTCCCTTCCGGGTCTTCTTTCTCCCTCGCCGCTGCCCTGATGCCACAGCTCTGGCAAACCTAAGGCTGCCAGCTAACCCGTGCAACCAACCCTTCCTACCTGCGTCTTCATCCCATCTCCGAAAGACTTGTCAGGAGTGATCTAAACAGACCAACCAGCCCGGTATTCACTCCTCGACTGATTTCATTTGACCAAGAGTCATTTGTGTTCACCTCCTTCTTCTGCAAATATATCCATCAAGGCAAGAGACCTCCAACCGATTGTTTCCGCGTTACGAACCCGTACGTTATCGCTTGCCCTCTCGTCAGTCATCCCAGGTATGAAGAACCCTCCTCTCCTCTCCCAGGATCTACGGTCAAACTCGACTCAGACACATTTCCGTCTCGACAAACAACGACGATATTGACACAAGAACAAGCTTCAACTTATTCCTAACTATTGTTGCTCACACTTGCTCAGCCTTCCCAAGATCGTGAAGGCTTCGCGGCACCACCTTCCTTTACACACGATACCGTCCCAACTTCTCCTGCGTCGCCCCGAGTGACTGCATAGACACGCAGTATTCTTACAACATCGACATTCATCCCGACTACAGGTACGTTGTTTTCCTCTCAGATTTCTCGAGAGCTCCGAGGGGCGCTCCTGACGTGCGGCGATCTGGTCTTTCCTTCCTTCCCACAACCACCTGGCCACCTATAAAACCATCTCCTCTTTTCACCTCCTGTCTCGCTTTCTCCCTTCTTCTTCATCACCACCAACCTTCCTCCCTAACACAACTTGCCTTACTCAACTTCTCCTCCTACAACCACAACCCACTCACAGCCTCTTTGGCTTGCAGATATTATTCCCTTCTCCCACCCCTGGAGCGACTCTCGAGGCAAACCATACCTTCCTCCTTCGTCGATATCGACGCCTTCCAGACGGCACACCAGGGAAAACGACGCTACACAAACATACCTTACTTCTCTACCTTCCGCGACTCGCACTGCTTCGCTCCCCGCCTGCTTCTTCTCTCCACTTGCTGCGTGAGGCATCTCTCCAGAAGCCTCGCTGCTCCTTCCTGTGGCAAACTCTCAAGCCCATCCACAGGACATACGATCTTATCCCCGACTTTGGCTTCTGGACCAGCGCAAGAAACCTGTACGCCTCTTCATTCACCCCCGGGTCTTCCCTAACACGCTTTCTCTTCGCCACCTTCCTACTCCAGCTCATCAACTTACCAAAAGCCGACTTCAAGTCCGCCAGTCTTTTACTCAACAGCAGCCCCATCGTCATCTTCATCGGCCAGACATAGTCAAAATGAGTCACTTGGCTAGAATCTTGGCTGCGAGGGAGAAACCCCGTAAGGGTAGAAGTCACCTGGAGTTGACCATCCCTCAGGGCCCCTGCCACCCTGTGGTGGGCGGCACCTACGACGAGCAGTACCAGAAGCAGCTCAAAAAGGTCACGAAGCTCATCGCTGGCTCCCAAACCTTGCCAGAGCTTTCGAGAGATGGAATGCCATCTGTGGAAGATTGGGACTCGCTGCGATCGAGACCAACCCCAAGTGCCGAGTTACAGTTCGTGTCGCAAGGCTCTCAGGACACGGAACACACAATCAACTATGAGAAAATCTTGGTGCATCTCTTGGATACGAACTACGAGGGTGCGACTGCTTTGATATCGAGCTTGTGGTCTCATGACGCGAAGAACATCGGACGTCTGGCTAGCACTTCCAAGGCTCTCAAGGAAGCCGTCAGCAGAAACAAAGTAAGTTTTACTTCTTTTCAGTCTTCATGTCCTCCAAAACTAATATGTCACAGTCTCGCTTCCACATGCCAAGCAGAAATTTCAATTTCTGCGACTTTACCGGGTACACTCTGGTTCAAATGGCAGAGAGACCAGAGAACGTGAGTGATGGACTTCACAAGCATCTTTTCGTGATTGGCAAAGATCTTCTGGCGCCGCCAGCCCCAATCACGGGTATTCCCACGCTTTGGGAGTCTGATGACAATCGTGATCGGATGTGGGCATGGGCCGAAAGTCAGACGGGCAGCTTTGCCATGACTGTGAAGCTGGCTCCTTACTACGCCACTGAGCGTCGGCTCCTCACAATCGAGCGTCACTTGAGCGCCAAGCAGCAAAGCCTTGGTCAGGTTGCCATTCGAGCTCCGACTCATCACCATCTACGGGAGGCTACATGCACAATCCCATTGCGTGAGTCTTTTTCCACATTGCGCCTGGTATGGGTAAGAAGCTAACGATATGACAGTTCGGTCCTTGCACCAGTACGGAGCCAATCTCAATTGCCTCCGCCTCCACGAGGTCCCTGGACTGGACCTCCGGGTCACCAAGTTGGTCCTTTCAGCTTGCAAGAGTCTGACCAAGCTGGACATAATCGAATGCGAGCTGCTGCACTTCAGCAGCATTGTGCAGCTGCTAGACATCGTGCATGTCAACTCGAAGGAGGCTGGAAAGAGCCCTATTCAACTCCAGTTCCGCCCTAAGACGTGGCTCGGAACCGACACCGGCCGCCAGGGCACAATGGTGCTTTCTTTCGACGGCATCCAATACAACAACATTCCGTCGGCAGTGATGTCAACCGTATTCATGGCCGTCGTCAAGGCCGTCCCCATGGGCATCGACCTGGTGTCGGAGCACCGCGAATTCCGCAACTTCCTCGACATCATCCCGATGCGACCGGGAGCGATGGCCCTCTTCTTGCACAACCTTATGGTGTACATTGACACGATCCAAGACCCGGTCACTTGGGAAGCGCTAGACGAGGAGACCCAGAAGGACTTAGAGGACCAAGTGCTCTTGTCCATTCGTGGCACGATGCTTTCTTTCTACAAGAGAGACACTTACTATCAGAAGCCCTATGAGTGTGATTCCTGCGGGTACTGGCTTATCACGGCCTTCTTCCGGGAGGAGATGAACATTCGCCGCGCCGATCAGCGCACCTGCCGAATCTGTGAGCTTCAGAAGAAGCTGGACGGGCAAACTCATCATCGTCTTCTTGAGAAGCGTGATCTGGTCGATGATCTGTTGTTCAACAGAGACGAGGATATGATTAAGCAGACCCATATTGCCACCATGCAGATCCCCAACAACGACCTGAACAATGTCCTCGCGTCGACACTTCCAAATCCTTTCGTGAGGGACCCGGCGATCAACAGCGGCCATCGTGAGCTAGCCTTCCTGTGGCACTACAGGCTCCCGACTGTAGAGGCCCTTGTGTCACCGGACCGGCAGTACGACATTCTCCGCGCCTCGGGCAGAGCCGCCTTCCTGGACGTTGCGGACGAGATTGCAGCGTTGGATGGCGTTTATCCAGACCATCCAATGCTCTCTCGACAACGTCGGGCCACTGTCAAGAGCATGAAAAAGACGTGGGAGCATTACATCTGGCGGGAGGTCGGCAACGAAGAGGCCGGCTTCTGGTAATCATTCCAGATTACCCATTCGAGTCACGAACACAGCTCGATTCAGGAAAACACCAACATCGATTCTCTAAAATCCGAAATACCCCCTCCTCCTCATCATCCGCAACATGATTGAGAGTATATAATACAGGATATGGGTAAGGATTGGATTGTACAATGGCGTTTGGATGCTTGCCAGCATCATTATTAGAAGAGCATCAAGACAACAAGGGCGCACGAGCATGATCAAAGAAATCATGCTTTCAAAGAAGCAGGCAGGGCAATGCAGGAGCACTGGATCGAGAGCCAACAGAGTTCTTCTTGAACCTAAAGATGCCACGATATGGGCATAACGGTTTACTTTTCAGGGACGGGTGGATAACGGAAAGGACCGCGAGGTGTTCACCTCCACCTTTTCTTTGCGGTTTATTTCCTTGGCTGTTTTATTTCCTTCGACTCGTCATCAGGATGGATTTGGCATTGGAAGCTAATAATGAGCTCGAGCGGCGACTCGCTCATGTACATAGAAAAGGCACGATATTTTCGCAATGGACACTTCGCACATGACCCCATGGACTTGAATCATATGGTGATGTCGATATTGATTCTTGAATGGTGGTATTGAATCCTCCGGCCTCTTGATGCCGGGGGTAGTCTACAGGTTTGACATCTATCTCGTGATGTTGTACAAAAGTGATACACGCTACAATGCTCAAAACACTCCCTGTCATCATTTCCTCGTCCACAGCTCAAGAAGAACCCGATCGGTTCTGCTCCCCAGATGTCAATCCCACCACATTCCTCAACGTACCAAAGCTCAAGCAGTCGCTGATCCTGTTTGCCCCAGAAAACAACATCACAAGCCTCTCGACACCGCATCCCCAGCCGCCCGTAGGTGGCAACCCGGCCTCGAGGGCCTTGATGTAGCTCTGATCAAGCGGCGCGTCCCTCGTAGCCTCCTGCTCCTCCTGCTCCACACTCTTGCCGGTCCCGAGCACGCGGTGCTCCGCAAGCTTACGCGCCTGCGCCTCGGGGTCGTTCTCCTCCTCGTACATGTTGGCCAGCTCGCGGCCGTTGACGAACAGCTCCGTCCGCGCGGAGACGAGCTGCAGCGTCTTGGGGCAGAGGAAGCTCTTGGCGAGCGGGCTCATGCACACGGGGTGGTGCGTGATGAACAGCGGGCCGCCCTCGAACGACTTGGGCTCCAGGTAGATCGCCGCCAACCGGTCGAGCAGCTTGGCCATCGTCGGGGGCACGCCGCCGGGAATCTCAATCTTGGCGAGCGTCAGCACGGCGAGAAGTTCCGCGTACGCGTCGCGGCCGGTCAGCTTCGGCAGGCGGACGCCGAGCGCGGCCTCAAGCGCGGGAATGAACTCGAGCCGGCGGTAGGGCCGCTTGAACTTGGTCAGGTCGATGGGCTGCAGGGACGTGAGCTGCGTGTCGATGAGCTCCTGGCAGTGGTGCGCGAGGCCGGTGAGCAGCTCCTCTGTGCGCAGGATGAGCTCCTGGAGGTTGGTGTAGGCGCTGTAGAACTCGCACATTGTGAACTCGGGGTTGTGGGTGGCGTCGATGCCCTCGTTGCGGAAGGCCGGGCCGATCTCGAAGAGGTTGTGGACACCGCCGATGACGAGCCGCTTGAGCCAGAGCTCGGGGGCAATGCGCAGGGAGAGCTCGCGGGAGGGGAACTCGGTGGCGGTGGTGGTGAAGGAGCGGGCGACGGCGCCGCCGGCGTTCTCGGCGAGGATGGGCGTCTGGAACTCGAGGAAGGCGCGCTCGTGGAAGTAATCGCGCATGTACTTCGTGATGTGGGAGCGCATGCGCAAGACGTCGGCGACCTCGGGGTTGACGATCATGTCGACGTGGCGCTTCTGGGCGCGCGTCTCCGGGTCGGTGAGGGACTGCGGGATCTGCTCCATGGTGGGCGCGAGAAGCTGCGGCAGGACGACGGCGTTGAGGGTGAGCGCACCCGTCTTTGTGCGGCAGGGCTTGCCGGTGATGGAGATGTGGTCGCCCTTTTCGATCATGCGGGTGAAGAGAGCGAACTTGTCCAGGGTTATCTTGTCATTCAGGTTGCCGAAGTTGATCATGCCCTGGATCTTTTCAAACTCATTGACGATGGTGACGAAGAGGAGCCTCTTCCCCTGGGCACGGATGGAGTGGACGCGGCCTGTGGCCTTGGGTCAGCAAGGGGAAATTTGATACGGCTGTGGCAGTGTAGCCCGCCTGGTGACATTGATTCTGCGTACCATACAGGGTGACGATCTCCTCGCTCGGTTTTTCCAGCTTCTCTTTTATCCACCTCTTCTTGAACACTGGTACTGACACCTTCTTGGTCATGTGCTTCAATCGCGGGTACCGGTCCTTAATGAGAGCCTCGGACCAATCCCCGGTGACCTCCTCCAGCGCCTTAATGCGCATCTTCTTGAATTCTGACATAGACTCCCCCTTTTGCATAAGACCCTTCTCTCTCTCGCCCTCTACGCCATCCTGCGTCCTCCCCGCAGCTCCGTTCTGGAGTCTGCTCGTGCCACTTGGCCGCCCGACATGCAAGAACCGAAACGGTATCGCGACCTGCGGGGTTCGTACGATGGGCCGTAACAGCCGCAATCTCTGAATCGAGGTCATCGTGCCTGGTGTCTCCTGTTAGTGGCGTCTCTTGCAAAACTCGCGCGAGGTGGAAGTAGAAGAACAAGGAGGTTGTGAGTGTCAGATATTTGGCGGTTATACATCACGCGCAGCAAGCTGCGTAAGCCGCAGCGGTTCTAATGCTTGCAATCATCATGTAGGAGGAATGGAAGAATGAAGAAGTGTTTTGTTTCCACTTACCAGCATACTTTGGTTGCTCAAGAAGACGCTTGTTCTTCTTGAGTTGCCGACTGAATGGACGGCGAGAAGGATGGCAAAATTTGTGACGGCGCGATTTTGTTCAACGCATCCCTGACGTTATCGATAAGAAAAAAGTCGGCCGGCCTGCAAGACGGCCCGAGGGGTCCCCTCTAATACCCACTTTAAACGACGCCTGAAGCCTCAATTCGAGGCTATTGTCGTCCCTGTCGCCGTGAGTGCTCTGTGTTACGATTTCTTAATAAGATAGACTCAAGAGGCTGCGAAGGTCCGGAAGACTACAGTACGATGTGTAGGGTCAGAGGAGTGCTGGAGAGACACAGAGACACATGAGGGGATCCGGCTTGTGTGTTGGTTACTCAGCAAGATTTCCTGTTCGTGATTGGCCGCAAAGCTTCGAGAGGCCCGTGCACACCGTCAAACCTGCTTGCACCTGTCCAGTCGCGATGCGATAAGATAAGGAAGGCTAAAGCAGAGGAGCTTTCTTGTAAAATCTCGACCTCAGCGACGTCAAGCAGCCCGCAGCAGCAAACAAGCTACGAATAATCAACGACCACGCCCGACTACGTCACCGCATCCCCGATATCTCTCCATCACAAACCCTCGAACACAACCGTCAAGATGTCTTTCTTTGGAATGGGTCGCCCTAAGCTCTCTTCGGAGGAGAAGATTGCCATGGCTGAGCAGGAGATGCGTCTGCTTGCTGACATGCACAACCGGTACGTTGAACATTGGAGCTCCCAATCCCATATGCTAGAAGCTTGATGTGGCTCTGCATGATTGGATTGCAACATGGGCTGACTTTGCTCCGCGCCAGCCTCACCAAGATCTGCCAGTCCAAGTGCCTGCCCGACTACCGCGAGGCCGACCTCAACAAGGGCGAGTCCGTCTGCCTCGACCGCTGCGCTGCCAAGTTCTTCGAGGCGCACATGAAGGCGTCGGAGGTGATGCAGGCTGAGAGTCAGAAGAGAGGCGGCGGTATGGGCGGCGGCATGTTCTAAGTCTCTTGACGAACCGAGATGATGAACGATGGAGTAAAAACAAGAGCGGGATGGATGGGACCGTTTGGAAGGCCGTTACGACGACGCTCCGTACGGCAAATCTGCCGTGAATGCAGGCTGTACAGAGATAAGGTCCTGGATGAACGGATTCGCATTCGCATTGCGAGCCTGGCTTTGCATGGCCCGGATGGTCACCAGGGATTTGGGTGTATTTTGAAGCACCGAGACGGGCTTCGTGTATAATATGGGATGTGATGAATGTCCTTGGTGTATCAATGAACCACCCTCACACTTTCACCTTATCTTTTGCTCTGGGTGACATCCCTTTGCACCCTTCGTTTGGGTAGGACTGGCTTACATAGCCATTGGGTTGGTCAACATCGGGACAGTTCTGAAAGCTTTGGTCTTGACTACAAGCAAACAATGTTAACGGCAAGAAACCAAGGGGAATAACTCAGTGTCAAAGTCGGAACTGCGTCCGGGGATCGATGTCGGCTGTTGACTTTCGGTGAAGACTTAACGATGTTCTATATCTTCTCATGCAGAGCCTACCATCTCATCCGAGACATCTCGTATCACGCTACGCTCACCTACTCAACGATGAAGGGGGGCAGATGGACTTTCCACAAACCGATGAATGTTGTTAACTGTTCCTCATCGTGTAGAGATCCGGCAAGCCCGGAGTCGGCCTGTCAAATGCGGCTCTTGGCCGTCTCCAGTGTGGAATTCCACCTTACCCATCGACACCCATCAGCAATCAAGCCGGCACCGCTGGCCGTTTCAGACACCTCTTCGTGGAGAAACGCCCGCACGTGCTCTCACCGATCCCGCGGAAGGAAAAACGATCGAATTTCTCCGGGGTGGAAGGAGAGGTCCACGTGAATGTGAGTAAGGCTTGCCAGCTGCTCGGATTCATCTCGCATCTCGAGACCGTTCTGATGGTCGGAGAAAACCCACGCAACACACAGCAAGTTTGTGAAATGATACGGCGACGTTGCACAGCCCAGGAGGCAGCCAGGCATGAATCAGCCCGCCATCTGAGTTTCCCATAGCAGAGCAATCAAGCAATTACGGGCAAATCCAGAAAATCGGGTGCTGGACTCCGGTTGATAGACTTTTGAGTTTTCTCTTCTTTGCAGCATGGCCATTGAATTAGACAAGGTGCCGCGGGAGCCCA